CATCTTTCCCGTTTGTCTCAGGTTCCCAGGACAACAAACACATGGGACAGGAAAAGAGAGAGGGAACCAGCCACACGAAGCCTGGTGGCAGTCCCGGGACCATGATGATGCTCTACCCAGCTGCTTGGCCTGTTTGGAGAAGAGACCAGCTCAGGTTTTCCAGGAACATGTGTCAAGGGAATGACTGAAAGGAAGGGGAAGAGGATGTGATCGAAAGGGCTCCTGCCCAGTGGCCTGATCTATGCTCCAGCTTCCTTACAAAGACTAAGCTAAGACTCTGATGCCAGCAGAGCCAGAGTGTGGGCTGGCCCTCCAGGAGCCCACCACACCTACTGCCCACTTATGTGTCCACTTGCTTCTCTCCACCACCCAGATGCTCATCCAGCCTCAGCTTGCTCATCTGTGAAGTGGGAAACTATGGATCCAGTCCCCCGGGGTTATCTGGACATGGTGGTGTACTCTTTGAGTCCTGGCACCCAGGAGGCAGGAAGAGTGACACAAAGTGCAGGCCAGCCAGAGCTACAGAGTCTTTCCCCGAAATCAGTTCAGATAAAATTCTGTTTATTTTGGATTTTTTAAAAATTTTGTGTATGAATGCTTTGCCTACCTGTGTGTATGTGTACCATACGTGTCTGGCACCTGCAGAGGTCAGAAGAGTACCCTCTTCTGATTCCCTGGAACTGGAGTTATGGGTGGTTCTGAGCCATCATATGCATGCTTAGACTCGAACCCAGGACCTCGGCAAGAGCAATGAGTGCTCTTAATCACCGAGCCATCTCTCCAGCCCAAAATAAAAACAAAATTGCCAGGCGGTGGTGGAGCACACCTTTAATCCCAGCACTCGGGAGGCAGAGTCAGGTGGATCTCTGTGAGTTCGAGGCCAGCCTGGTCTACAGATCGAGATGCAGGACAGGCACCAAAACTACACAGAGAAACCCTGTCTTGAAAAAAACAACAAAACAAAAGAAAAAAAGAAACAAAATTCTATACAATTGAGTAAATATTTATAAATAGACAGTGCATAAATGGTCAACTAGTGGCTGTATGACAGCACTATTAAGATCTACCGGGACTGATGAGCCTGACAAATGAGGTCAACCCCCAGAAGCCACGTGATGCAAGAAGAGCACCCACTCTAGCCAGTCGTTTTCTGATACACACACACACACACACACACACACACACACACACACACACACATAAACATATAAAAAACGAAGATTTAAAAAATAGAAAAGATCTACACAGACCATCAGGCATGGTGGCACAGACCTGAAATCCCAGCACTGGTGAGGCAGAGGCAAGAATAGCTCTGAATCTGAGGACCGCCCAGTCTACTACGTGGAGAGTCCAGGCCGGCTGAAGCAATGCAGTGAAACTCTGTCTCAAAAATAAAACCCAACACAGACTACTTAAGCCCTCAGGAGGACCACAGTGGATAAACGATCTTGCCTTTCAAATGATGTCCTGAGGCTGGGGTGTAGCTAGGTTGGTAGAATGCATTCCTAACACGCATGAAACCCTCAGTTTGGTCCCCAGCATCTTATAACCTGGGTGATGTGGTGGAACACACCTGTAATCTTACCTCTCAGGTAGAGGCAGGGGGATGAGAAGTTCAAGGTTTTCTTCAGCTACATAGTGAGTTCAAGGCCAGCCTAAGACTCACAAACTGAGTCTTGAACAAATGAACAAAAGCATCCTCTTTTGCCCATTTGCATTTCTTGAGGCAACAGACAGGCTCCCTGGATGCTCTAGGGGGAAATGGACGCATCTTCATGGCATGAGATGCATAAAGATGACAAGTAGTGACCAGTGGACAATCCTTCCAATCTCACTTGGCTTCCTGGAGGAGAGCCTGGCATACACAACTGCCCCAGATCCTTGGATCCGTGGCTGACCTCCAACCCACACCAAAGCTTCCACTTCAGGGCAGTGACACTGGACAGCTTCCAAGCCTTCAGTTAGCACACAGTCCACACACACCAATCCCTCCGTGGATGTGCTGGCCTGGCTGGTCACAGAGTCACCAATGATGATGGGCTGTGAGGATAGCTTTAGAAGTACCTGGATTAAGGAGGATATTTCTGGAGAGGATCCACCGAGGCAGGGAAGATCTACCCTGAATGTGGGTGGCATTATTCCATGGTCCAGGGACGTGGAAACAATGTCTTCCATCATGTGAACTGCTCATCTCCACTCTTGCCTCCCACCATGATGTCCCAAACCCTCTGAAAACATGAGCTAAACTGGATGCTTCCTCCCTTAGGTTATTTCTTTCAGGGATCTTGTCACAGTGACTACGAAGGTTCATTGTAGCACCTTTGACTTCCACTCAGAGAAATGCAGAGACTCTATCTGCCCTACTGTGTGTCCTATGTACCCTCTGAGGCCACCATCTTGGGCCAGATCAGCTGCCATTTTTTAATAACTTTTTTTTCCTTTTCTTTTTTGGTTTTCAAGACAGAGTTTTTTTTCTGTGTAGCCCTGGCTGTCCCAGAACTCACTCTGTAGTCCAGGCTGGCCTTGAACTCACAGAGATCCACCTGCCTCTGCCCTCCAAGTGCTGGGATTAAAAGTGTGCACCACCACTGTCCTGCTAAGGAATAACTTCACTGAAAAATAGTTCATAAGTCATAAAGCTTACATTTTCCTCTATGTATTTAAGTGGATTTTAGGACAGTTACAGAGTCGGGCATCAGCCACTACCTAATTCCAGAACATTTTCATCAATCAAAACAATAAGCAAAAAGTCAGGTCAGCAAGCTGGCCCATATAAGGTGGAAAGAGAAAATCAACTCCTGAAAGCTGTCCTCTGACCTCTACACATGCATGGTGGCCTCTGTACATATGCATGCATTTGGGTACACACATACCCACACACACACACACTCACACACAAATAATAATAATAATAGGGGCTGGAGAGACTGCTCAATGGTTAAGAGCACTTCCAAAGGACATGGGTTCATTCCCAGCACCTACATGGCAGCTCACCACTGTCTGTAACTTCACACAGATACATAGGCAGGCAAAACACCAATGCACATAAAATAAAAATAAATAATAATAATAATAATGTTAATTTAAAAAAAGAGGGGTAGGAGAGATGGCTCAGCAGTTAAGAGCACTTGTTGCTCTTGCAAAAGACCCCCGATTGGTTCTAAGCATCCACATGGTAGCTTACAGCCACCTGTGACTCTAGTTCTAGGGGATCCAAGACCCTATTCGGGCCTCCATGGGTAGGTATTACATTCACATGGTTCACAAACATACATGTAGGCAAAAACTAAAACACTTAAAATAAAAAGAAATTTACAGTGGGTGGTGGTGGCACACCCCTGTAATCGGAGCATTCAGGAGGCAGAGGCAGGCAGATCTCTGAGTTTGAGGTCAGCCTGGTCTACAGAGTGAGTTTCAGGACAGCCAGGGCTAAACAGAGAAACCCTGTCTCAAAAAAAAAAACAAAAACAAAAACAAAAACAAATAAACAAAAATGCAATTGGACTTCTGGCGTTTCTTATATCTAGCTTGTTTAGCTCAGCTTAATGTTTACAAGGTTTATCCAGATAGATAGATAGATAGATAGATAGATAGACAGATAGACAGACAGACAAATAGATAGATAGATAGATAGATATGTGTATGTATGTATCATTTCTTTTTATTTGTTGTTATTAATATATATATATATATACATATATACATATATATGCTAGGACTTGAACCCTGATCCTTGTATTTGCTAGGCAAGTGCTCTACCATTGAACCACATCCCCAGCCCTACTTCATTAATTAATTTTTGTTGTTTGTTTATTGGGAGGTATGCACCATTGCACCTGTGTGAAGGCCAAAGGACAATTTGGGGTCACTTCTCTTTTTCCACCATGTGGGTCTTGGGGTTCAAATTCAGGTTGTCAGGCTAGGAGCCTGGTTGCTGCCCCCCTCATTCCTTTTTAGGACCAATTAACATCCCCTTGTACTGATGGATCACAGTGTACCCTCTTATCTGTTGATGGTCTGTCTGCTTTGGCCAATCAACTGCCCCATTTTACAGATAGGGAAACTGAGGCCCCAAGTCACCATAATCTGGATGGGGCAGGAGCCTAGTCCCCTCCTGTGTTACTCTGGAAGAGCCTGGGGAACAGAGTCTCACAGTTGGGCAACAGGCAGAGTAACATTTGAAACAACCTCCAGGGGGCTTCTGTGTGCTGTGAGTGCACACCAGGCCACTGCCTGATCCTTGAAGAGGGTCACACCTGTTCACTGCTCCCTCCCTAAGTCCAGGCACTTCTCTGCTGTAGGTCCTCACTGCTCTCCATGTTTTGATTTTATTTTTGTTTGTTGTTGTTTGTTCATTTGTTTGTTTGTTTTTTTTTTTTTGAGACAAGAGCTCTCTACATCTGCTGTCCTGGAACTCACTGTATAGACTAGGCTGGCCTTGAACTCACAGCGATCTACCTGCCCCTGCTTTCTGAGGGCTAGGATTAAAGTATGCACCATAAGCCCAGTGCTTTTGATTTTTAAAGATTTATTTGTTTCAGGCTGGAGAGATGCTCAGTGGTTAAGAGCACTGCCTGCTCTTCCAGAGGACCCAGGTTCAATTCCCACATGGCAGCTCACAACTGTCTGTAACTCCTCTTCCAGGGGAATCCAACACCCTCACACAGGCATACATGCAGGCAAAACACCAATGTATATAAATTGCAAATAAATAAATTCTAAAAATATTTATTTGTTTCTATGTGTGTTTGCCTGCATGACTGCCTACGCACCTCTGGTGTGTCTGAAGAGGGAAGCCAGAAGAGGGCATCAGACCCTCTGGAACGGGAGTTAAGGGTGGTTGTGAGGCTGCCATGTGGGTGCTAGGAACTAAATTGCTTCTGCTTTTTACTCTAGTACAATCCATTTTCAAGCTCCGGAGTCATAATGAAGCTGTGTTCACTAGATACTCACAGAAGCAGTGATTTGAACCTTCCAGCTAGTAAGCACCTAGTCTTCTCTCCAAGCCATTCTGTGTCCGCTATGGCCATGTGATAATCTCACAATGGCAGTGGCTTCATTTCCCTGGAGCCTCTCTTTGGGCTGGTAGGTTCAGAACATTTTTCTTACACAGACCACGGCCTTTAGGCCTTAAAGCCCAAGTTCCCTACAATGACGCGCTCCAAGAAGTTAGATAATTTGCCCGAGCTTTGGCACCGGAGGAGGAACCCAGGCCTCTTGCCTGATGCGGAGCCGCGATCCTAAACATCTAAAGCCACAATCTGTCACACTGGAAATGGAAACCTCTCCCGCTTCCCACGTGCCGGGTCCGCCCACTACTCTCTGATCTTTGCAATGTCGGCGGCCCTATTGACCCCGTTGTGAGTTATGGGGGCCGTGGGACCCGTAACCCAGCATTCTCGGACTCCCAGGGTCGGCAGGACATGGCACCCCGCGCGGTGATGGATGAGCCGCCCTGAGGGCTGGCTTTGTCCGGATTGGGTTGAACTGAGTAGCCCGCAAAGCCGGCTAGGGACATGAGAGTAAGAAGCTGACTCTGTGTGTGTGTGTGTGTGTGTGTGTGTGTGTGTGTGTGTTGGGGGGTGTCTCTCTCCTTCCCAGGGGGCATAGATGAGCTATCCGTACCCAGGTGAGGTCCGATCACTTTGAGGTTCTCATGCACACCCTCTTGGTAAAGGGACTTCTCTGAGAACCTCCCCCACTCCGCGCACTTTCTCAGTCTACAAAGGCCGCGCCGCTGTCTGTCCCGCCTTCCCTGCCGCGGGCATTTCTTCCGTCCCATTTGACAGCCTAGGCGGAATAATCCTTTTGGGGACCCTGCCGGCTCCTGCCCCGTCAGACGCGGCCGCAGCTGAGCGCGAAGCCTGGATCTATTGTTGAAGGGGAGGGGGATCCGCCAGGGACGCCCCGCCGCTGCCCTTTGTCGCCCGCTGCCCCGCGGGGCCGCTCCAGATGCGCCACCGCTGCCCGGTGTCCCACCCGTCCCACGCGCCCCGGGGCCGCGCCGAGGTG